AAAAATACAAACTTGATCAAAGAAATGCTTTTACTTTGAAAGGGGTAAACTTGAAATATCACGAGTTAGACAGTGTTATAACTCTGGCTTAGATTGGTCGGTTTACTGCAGAWGATCTCACCCACCTTCTAATTAAACCAATACAAAAGTAACAAGTATGYATCAGTCCCACCAGTCTTCAGCTGGAAGGAGGCTGTGACAGTCGTCTTAGCAGTTAGCGTTAGCGTTCACCTTTTTTTTRCTTGTTTAGCATATTAGCGCTAGTGGAGCTAAGATTCTTGTTTAGTGGATTAGTGGTTAGTGTAGTTAAGTTTATGTGAGCAGAGCCATGATCCAAGTGCATTGATGTTGTTTTAAAACAATGCTAAACTGTTCAAAGTTTTAAAGCAGTTTTTGCAAATGTTGTTAAAGAAATTTTTTATGGCACCACATGTATATCGTTTTTCAATGATTATTTTAACTTCGTAGTGCAGTAATAGTAGCTAGCTGTAGCGTTACACTTCCAGCAAGAATGTCAGTATTTTTGCAAGAATAACCATTTCATGATRGCAGTTTAAAGATTTGTAAAACACTTTAGAGCTTAAAATTGTTCTTTGATGGCAGCAAGCTGCTTTAGTCTTGTCCCCACTTAGTTTAGCTCATCACTCCAGTCAGATTTGAACTATTTTTCTCCAAACTGAGGTCGTTTAAGAAGCTATCTTTAACATGTACATTAATTGGTCATACTTTCCACAGAATGCAATTTCCAAAGAACTGAACTATTACTTTAAAGCCACATATGGCTGCACACTTTGCAGCAGCACCCTAAAGGCTGTGGTCCTGAACAGGAGTCGGGGTTTGGCTTCCCAGGCGGCCAGTGAATGTGGGAGGAGGGTTAAAAACTGGAAGAGACGGAGAGAGCCAGTACATTAGGAATGAATTATGAGCAGAGAGCACTTATCCAACAATCCTCCTCTGAAGTGTTTGTACTGTAAGCCTCAGATCTTCATTGTATTTATTCTAATGTTTAAATATTCATGGTAAATCTTCTCATATTCAATTACCGAAGCACGACCACAGCATGCAGAGAGAGTGCTTTCTCCCCGCTGCCTGGCTGCCTGGATGATCTGACTCTTTATGTGTATTTGTATGCATGTCCGTGTACGCAAGTGGGTCCGTGCATGTGTGTGTGTGTGTGTGTGTTTAGCTCGTTCCCTAGAGCGATCAAGCCTTTGTTATGTTGGAACCAAGCTCTGTAATTGCTTATATTAGTCGCTGATCAACGTAAGACCACAGGACACACACACACGCGCGAATTTGCGCACACAAATGTGTTCACTCCGCCTGATTCCTGACAGTCTTTTTATTAACCACCAAAGCAGGAGACAGAAAGAGATTCATTACATCACAGGCAAACAAAGACACACACCAGTCTTAACAGAGAACACCCACATTTTCAGGAGTGTTTGTGATTCAGTCAAGTTTTCTGTACATTCCCTGCTATAGCTGAACGGAGGGGTGTATTTTAATTAAGAGTCGAAATACTTACATTGTTTTTTTTTTCTGTCTGTATTCTCTTTAGCACTGAATGAGCCAACAATAGACTACGGCTTCCAGAGATTACAAAAAGTCATCCCTAGACACCCRGGAGACCAAGAAAGATTACCAAAGGTACAGTACCTCTACTCCTCTTATGTAGCTTTGCTTTTAGGAGCTGCCAAAAAAAAGTTTCAAATAAAGATTTGTCTCATGACTACTGGAAGATATCGAGACATATTGAAAAACTTCTCGAGTTTCATAGCATGYGTGGATACAAAAGACGAAGGGCAGCGTGACCTCACGCACAGAGGAGTTAACTGCGTTGAGGAGACAGCAGACCGTAAACATTTCCACCAATGTAAATGCTCCTTTTTCTGTTACAGTAAACAGCTTAGTTGAACAATAAATGCACACCCTGTTCTTTCTTCCATTGAGCGTAAGGTCATTTTGACTGGCAAAGTGGGAGAGGAACGAGGAAAAGAGGGAGGAAAGGAGGTTGAGGGAAGAGGGGAAGAGAGAGGCAGAAGCAGGTTAGGTGATCCATCATAGCTGTCCGGTCTTACCTCCTGCTGGGTCAGTGGATCGAAGTCAACCCCGGGTGGACTTTATTACTTTCAGCACACATCCACAAGGCAGCACACACTCGTAGAAACACACACACACTTCTTCATGTCTKCGGGTGCACACTCAGTGGTGAGAAGTCACCATGTGGTAGAGATGAAGCGCCCAGGCAGATGTAGAGGGAAGCTAAAGAGATCRCTTGTCCTCTCTGAGTGTCTGTTGGATGTGAGACTTGTCCCGRTGAGTTCTGGTCTTTAGCCTATCARCCCMCTCCTGTACACCTCTAAATGTCTWCGAATCTATCCATCTCTTTCCTCTCCTCTCAGGTTTGGTGGTGTCTCTTTCTCCTYTAAATGAACAGCGGTAGCTGGCAGGCCTGGTTGTTCATTTCGGCTCTATTGATTTGTGCCTTTATTGAGGCAATAACACTTTGTTGACCACACTTCGCCCAAGTGTCGGCCTCAATCATTCGAGAAAGGTGGGGTGCACACTGGCAACTTCTGGATCTGCAAATGTCCATTCAAAGCTACCTTGGCAAAACCCTTTCACTGCAGTTGTTTCTCCTGCTAGTTTGGCACCGCTTGTGATGAGTATCCTTATCCTTCGTGCTTTTAAAYACTTCTTTTTCACATTTAAGTCATTCAGTTGGAGTCTATATAAAGTGCAACTGCAATGCTTTGGTCTAAATTCCTCCTTATTGTAACTCCACAAGCCCCTGTTCCACCCCTTTCCTGACATATTTCTCAGATCAACTCATTTTGAYGCTGCCTCKTCAAATCCGAACAAGGCGCTTCACACACGCACAGCTTCCAGAGCGGTCCATTCTAGTTGACAGAGGRGTTTACGACTATATAGCTGCTCAGAAACGTTTTATATACAAATGAATTAAAAGWTGTCAACAATGGAARACTTGTCCATCCAGCATTGCATGTTGGAGCCAGWGTCTGACCCAGAGCAAGAGGTGGATRAAGACRATGAAATTGTACTAATTTGGCAATYCCGTCGCAAATAATTGGACTTAATTGTTCCAAAGAAAATAAAGAAGACTCAACGGGTTGAAAAATATGAACCAAAAAGAAWATAAAGATATCTTTGCAGCACTGGGAGAGACTAAATTAAACATTTCTACACTCCTAGAGAATCCAYGTAGACAGCAAAAGGTATTCAAGGCCTAAAAAAGTGGATTTTGCATGATATGTCCCCTTTAACAAACCTTATCACACACTCTTGGAAGTAGCCTGGTAAAAACCAGATCCCTGTCCTTCACTTTGCTTCGTACAGAGGGTCTGGACTCGCAGCTATAGAGAAGCGATTCTTCTTGGAGGCATGGCCTCTGCTGAACTGTGTGTGTCGCTGTGAAGGAGGCTAAGCTAAGAAGCTAACCGGAAATCGCAAGCACTGTAAACAACCCTACTGAGAGGAGAGAAGTACAGAGCCGAACTAGACGACTGTAAATGAGAGCTGCTGCTTTGTCAGACAAATTTATTTTAATTTGGAAGCCTTATCAACACAGACTGGATTCATTCACTTCCTCCACTGCCGTATGCTAAAATAACTAGCAGACACTGCGCAGAAAATCAACGTCATTCAAAAACTCCGCCTTCTGTTTGTTGATTGGCCCAGGTACAATCAGACACTGCGCAGAAAATTGAAGTTCTGTTCTCTGATTGGTTCGGCTAGAAATCTGCCAGCGAAATCCTTGTCTATGAGAGAAATGCCAGACCCAGCAGTGAAGGGAAACTAGAATTGAGCAGAGCTGCGTAGGAAGGCAAGGGCCAGACTATTTTGGAAGGGGCAAAGTAGGAAACCGGCCAAACCTGGGTAACATTCTGGTGTCAAGCTGCAAACAGCAGCCCACGCTGTGTTGTTGCTGACGGACAGGCGGTAGGAGTGACTCGGTAGCTCGACTCCAAGGTGTTTAGGAAAAGCTGCAGTGTGTCCAGAGGACGGGGCGGGATGATTGTGGTGGTGGCGGATGGGGTCTGGATGCTCTTAATGAGCAAACAGTCATCCAGAYGAAGCTAGACTCTGCTCTGGATCAGGTTCCCCTTCCTGTTGACGTCTCCGCGGGCCTGACTTTTACGGGAAGAGACCCTGCGCCCAGGAAATGATCTCCCCTTACAGCAGCAGAGCCGGGGGAGGCAGAGCGGCGCTAACCACATTTATCTGTTTATCAGAACGACTCTGGAGCTCGGCCTAATCATGTTTAGCCACTGGACAGATCCCTGCTCTAACAAGAGGCTGATGGGTACAGACAGGGCGCAGGGCCATGAAGGGGTGATTAATGGAGAGACGAAGAAGAGGGAGACAAAAGGAAGTAGACACAGGTGGAGAGAGAGAGAGAGAGAGAGAGAGAGAGAGAGAGAGAGAGAGAGAGAGAGAGAGAGAGAGAGAGAGA